CACACAGCCACAGGCAGACACATCCCCAACAGGCAATTGTATTTTCGCACAAACATCTACACTCTGAACAATGGCAATTACGAGCAAAACAGCACCGGTGGCACAAGGCATTCAAAAGAAGAATCTCACTTGGACTTCTTGGACTCGCCACGAGCAGGAGACTTTCCTCGAGCCGGCGACTTTCCACGAGCAGGAGACTGTGAACGTTTGGAAGCACCATCCTCCTCATCCTCGTTCGAAGACCGCGAGCGAGAGTTGCTGCGGCGCTTGCGCGTTGTCGAATCACCAACCAGCACATCGGGAGCCTGGGTGTCCTTGCCCGAGACATTGACAGCAGCAGCAACAACATTGCTTCCAGAGTCAGTGTCGTCCAGAATGCGAACCTCTCCCTTCGCGGCGTCAATGCGAACACGCATTCCCGTCTTCAGGCGCTTCATCAGACCACCCGAAATGCCAACAATGGTCGGCAGGCCCAGCTCTCGTGCCACGACAGCAGAGTGCGACAGAAGGCTGCCACGCTCAATCAGCAGGCCAGAGCAGAGCGGGTACAGCGGAACCCAGCCTGGATCGGTGCGGGCAGTCACGAGAATCTCGCCAGACAGGTTCTTTGTCTCGTTGATGGTCACCGCCACACGGACGACGCCCTCGACCACACCCGGGCAGCACGGTGTGCCACGGAGCACCTGAGGATCGGCAGCCGCATCCAGCTCGAGTTGGCGAAGCATGTTGAGGTCGCCAAGGATCTGGGGATAGTGCATAAACAGACCAGCAGCGCCGCGCGTCATGAAGCGCTCGGGAGGAGAAACGCCCTTGCGGTACTCGTCGTACTCGTGCTTGCGAAGCGCAACAAGACCAGCAATGTCGTTCGTGACAGAGCGACCATCAGCAAACGCGTACAGCTCGTCCTGCGTCAGATAAAAGGCATCCTGTCGATCCTGGAGAAGTCCCAGCTTGACCAAGTTTGCGCCATAGGCGCGCCACAGCTCGCGGAACAGTCCAAACAATTTGGTTCGCGCAAAGCGCATGTTTTCACGGTGGCGAACGCCGCGACGTGCGTGCCACAGCACCCAGTTGAAGAAGGCGCGCTTGACGGGGTTGAGTGTGCTGTTGATGGTTGCTTCAGCCTGGTGGCGGATGGCAAGCTCGCGCTCTTCCATGGCGTCGATCGAGTACGACTTGGTGCGGACGTAGCCGGCAATGGATTCAATGACAAAATCTACCAAAGAAAATAATAATAGGGATTAAAAACGAGGGAATCAGCTGACGTTCTTAACAAGCTGCATGTTTTTTTTTTGGCTTGGACTGCTGCAGTCACAACTTACCAGGCTGGTCATACAGCGTGCTCTCCTCGAGCTTGAGCTCGTTGATGCAGCGGAAACCGTACTTGTCGAGGAAGAGCTCAATGTGCGCGCAAATCGTGTGCTTGGGATCGTCTTTGGTGCTCGAGATGGCTTGGACAAAGGCCTCTGCGTCGCCAAAATGATCGGCAGATTGACTTCTGCGGGCACGCTTGGTGGCGGAGCGGACTTCCGACAAGTTCAGCACGCGAGCAATGACGTCTTGCTGGTTCTCCAGGAACCACTTGCGGACGGGGGCGGCAGAGGCATCCACCTGCGCGGCAATGCGCATGAGCATCTTGGTCGGTTCGGTGCTTTCGACATCGCCTTGGCCGCACAGCAAGTCGTTTTGGAGTGACTGCGCCTTGTCCGAGTCCAGGTGCAGATACTGGCCCACCAGCTTTTTGAGCATTCCAAAAAAGAGCATGACGTAGGTGTCGTTCAGGATGGGCGTTTCCCACTTGCTCGTGACGTCGCGATGGAGCTTTCGAATCCACGCCGACTGCTCTTGGATGGACAGGCTGAAAAAGTCAATGCTTCGAGCGTGCGCGTAATGGTGGTTGAAGTTTTCAAAGAAGCTGGCAACGAGGCCGTCCAGGGTGTAAATCTTGTGCAGCATGGAGACGAGCACACGGATCTAATGGTGATTTTGTTGGAAACCAAAAAAAAAAAAAAAAAAAAAAAAACAAATCCAAGAAGTGAGAGCATCAGAACGTCAATGCGAAACCACACATTGCCAAAAAAAGAACAACACATACCTTGGTTCCAATACTGTACTGTGGCTCGGTGGCAGAGATGGCACCAAGCTCGCGCTCGAGCGCAGGATCGAGCGTTTGCTTGACACCCATCATGGTCTCCATAAACTTGCCCTTGTCGACACCGACTGGGATGGTGGCAAGGCACCGGTACCAGTTCATCAGGTTGTAGTAAATGTTGCCGCGAACAAGGCCGAGCATGTTGGTGAGGTAAGGCTGGTAATCGGCAATGACCTCCGCAGGAACGCCAGCGACGCGCAGAGTGCAAGTGTAGACGAGAGCATAGGCGTACGAAGCAAAGGAGAAGGTGGCTG